TTTATCTGGGTATGGTGTAGCGTTGGCTCCGCAGACTCGCCATGTCGGCTACTTTGAGGTAGCCCGAAGAGAAGACGATGGCGTTGGGGGGCGTGGCCACGGGCAGCATGAAGGCCAGCGAGGCGGCGACGGTGCAGGGGAGCATCACGTACAGGGGGTGGAGCTTGATGCTGACGGCCTGCGGGCCCACCAAAAAACGCCTCAGTGGCCTCGCGACCGCGGCGCACGCGCGTCTCCGGTCTCAGCGGGACCCGGAGAGACTCGCCGATCGGACCCGTCGCCGAGGAGGGCGCGGCCAACAAAACGCTTCTCGCTCTCGGCCCCTTTGCGACAATTCTCTTCAAAGCGCTCAGGAACGGGGCTATCCCGGGGTCTTTGACTTTCCGGCGACGGCGCAAGCGACTTCGGGGGAAGAAGGAACAAAAAACAAGCGCGCGCACTCGCTCACGTGCGGCGCCATCTTTTGTCACGGTCCGCGGGCAGGCGCCGCGATCCGCGGCGTCGCTGGCTTTTACTGTCCCAATGAAACACTCGAGCGGCGTGACGGCGAGTCAATGTTTGACGGCTTTTGTGGCTTTTAGAACGGGAGCAGCGCAAATAGAGGCGGAGCCACGTGACCTCACGCGGACTCGGAGGCAACGGCCACTTTCTCCTTGACGGGAGCGTCGATCGCCTCTGCTGGATTTCTCATGCGTCGGCCCCCAAAATCTCACTTGAAAAAGCGACAAACGCGGAGCTCCAAAGGAGTCACGCCCGCGACGTGGCCGAGTCGTGCCAGCCAAGTACAGTCAAACCTCGGGTTTCGAACGTCTCGGTTCTCAACCAAAAAGTTTGAGTTTTTTATGCCTCAGATGACGAAACAAATTTGGGTTCTCGAACAAACTGAGCACACTTACATGCACCATTTGACTCCCCTCGCCTTCCTTACGTCACAAGCGTCACGTCCTCGTGTTGCGTTCCATTGCGAGCAGACGCGTTCAGTAAAAATTTTTATTTTAAAAAGAGCGTGGTTTCGGTTTTCGAACAGCCTTCTGGAACGGATTATGGACGAAAACCGAGCTTTGACTGTATTGTGTGCTTCGGAGTGGGTTTCACGATCGGGTCGGAGATGAGCGACCGCGAGGCCGGCTCGGGACCTCGCGAGCGGCGTCGGGACTCACCATGGAGGCCAGCACGGGCAGGAAGAGGGTGGTGGTGGCCGTGTTGCTGGAGCACTCGGTGAAGGTGGCCACCAGCAGGCACAGCAGCAGCGAGATGGCGAAGGCCGGGATCTTCTCCAGCGGCGACAAACTCCGGCCCAGCCATGCGCGACGGCGGCGGGCGGCGGTCACCTGCGTCGTCGCGGCCGTAGCCGGCGCTGCTCAGCGGCCGCGAGGGAATGACGAAGAAGAGCGCCGACATCAAGATGGCCACCGTTCCGTCCGTCACGAAGCTGCCGCGCAAACGGGACGCTTCATTAGGGACGCCCGCCATCCGTCCAAACCCGGACGCCTGCGCCGCTGCGGGGGAAACAAAAACGCGGCGGCCACCGACGGGTGACGACCCTTCGGCCGAACGGGCCCATCGCGGGGGAGGGGAGGCCGGCGCGCTCCCGTCGCAATGAGCGTGTCAACTTTGAAAGCGGCCGCCAACGTGCCGAACGCGTCCCGGCAAACGGAAAGCACTCACGGGCCCTCGTTGTTGAAGAGGACGCTGGCCCATCCGTCGACGAAGCCCGGCTCTCGGGTGAACCACAGAAGCACCAAGAGGACGAAGACGCACAGCACCGCCCCCTCGGCGAACTTGACGCCGCCCAGCTTCTCGTACTCCTCCTTCATGACGGCGTAGGCCCGCCGGTCGCCGTCGCTCGCCGAGCCGCAGCCGAACGTCCGGCGGAAGCTGCGGCGGGGAAAAGGACCGGTGGAGACCTCGCGAAGAGCGCGCGCGGGCGGGCGCGAGCGGCGCGCTGCCGTTTACTTGAACCCGAGGAACAGGAACTGCAGCCAGAGCCACGACAGCAGCAGCGTGAGGACCATGTTTGGGAAGGCGAAGCCGAACCAGCTGGCAAAGTTGATGACGTCCTTGTTCTCCGGAAAGATTCTGCACACCCGGCGGCACGCGGGCGGTCCGCAAGAAGAAGCGCAAGACGAGACCGCGCTTGTGCGTGTGTGCGTGCGTGCCGAGGCCTACTTGTCCAGCTGGCCCTTGAGGATGAGGTTGGGCATGGTGCCGGTGAGCGTGGCGGTCCCGCCGATGCTGGCCGAGTAGCAGACGCACAGGCTGATGCCTTTGGAGACCCGCTCGAAGCCGTCCTCGGCCCGCGGCCCGCCGGAGCGCCGCCGCTCTTCCCGATCGCCGTCCGTGTCGTCTGAGAGCGCGACGGGCGCACGGCTTAGCCTTCTTTGCTTGCGGCTGGCAGAAAACCCGACCGACCGCCATCGACCTGAACGGGATGGAGTCGCCCGCTGGTGCCGCGCCACGCCGATATTTTCAACAGCACTCTTGTTTTGGCCCATGTGAGGCGGTCCCTCACTCGGGGTGTCAATTGAATTCTCTGGGATTTTCCCCCGCTTCACAAATCTGCCGAAAAGGCCCGCAGCGGCGGCGAGAGGCCCGGCGCCGCCCCGCCGACCACGGGAGAAAAGAAAGAGCGGGCCGTCTACTTACGGGCGGCCTCCCCGCCGGCTCGGCGCTCGCCGGGCGACTTTTCCATCTCCAGGCCGGGCCGCTCGCCGTCCCCGAGGTCGGCGCCGTCGGCGCGCGTGGCCTTCAGCTGCCGCAGGACGGCGTGCGCGATGGGCAGCATCATGGCGGTGGTGGCCGTGTTGCTGATCCACATGGACAGGAAGGCCGACACCAGCATGAAGCCCATCATCAGCCTGCGGAGGAGCGCGCGGGGGGCTCAGCGCCCGCGCTCGGACGGCGGCGAGCCCGTCGGCG